GGAGTGACAAATTGAAGAGGAATGGTGTAGCATTCATTGTCACAAAGAACGTATTAAGATCTTGAAGTACAATGCTGTCAGTGATAGTCTGCAGTCTGAAACTGACCAACCATGCAATCAAGATGTGTTGATTATCACTAGTGACTGGAATGCAAAAGTTGGAAACAAACAATCACCAGTAGTTGGAAAATATGGCCTTGGTGACAGAAATAACGCTGGAGATCGCATGACAGAATTTTACAAGACCAGTGACTTAATTATTGCAAACACCTTATTTCAACAACATAAACAGCAGCTATACACATGGACTTCGCTAGATGGAGTACACAGGAATCAAATCAACTACATCTGTGGAGAGAGGCAATGAAGCAGCTCAGTATCATCAGTCAAAACAAGGCCAGGAGCTGAGTGTGGAACAGACCATCTGCAGCGCAGTGAATTGCTTGGTATGGCTCTTCTAGCCATGGTCTTTGTGACCTCCACCAGATTAGTGGGTGGAACTATGCAAATATAAGGTGTTTGTGGCCCAAGGAGATTGTATAGCTTGTTAGTAATGTAAATAAGGTACTTGGCATCCTTGTGGCGGTTGTGTTGTTGCTATGTGCCCTCCAGGTGGGCCCCACTCATAGTGACCCCTCCTTGGGTTTCCAAGGCAGTATCATTATGGAAGTAGATTGCCCCATCTTCCTTCCGAGGAGTGGCTGGTAGGTTTGAACCACCAGCCTTCTGGTCAGCAGTCAAGTGCCTTAGGCACTACGCTACCAGAGCTCCCAGTGTTGTTGTTAGGTGCCATCAAGTTGGCTCTGAGTCATAGTGGCCTTATGCACAACAGAACACTGCCTGGTTCTGTGCCATCCTCACAATCCTTGCTATGGTTGCACCCATCATCGCAGCCACTGTGTCAATCCATCTTGTTGAGGGTCTTCTCAATTTTCGCTAATCCTCTACTTTACATGATAGTTATCATAAACAGATATAGACAGAAGCATGATATCCTTCTCCAGGGACCAGTCCCTTCTGACAACCAAAATAGGTCAGATGAAATTTAGCCATTCTCACTTCTAAGAAGCATTCCAACTGTACTTCTACTTTCAAGACAGATTGTTCATTTCTCTGGCAGTCCATGTATATTAAGTATTCTTTGCCAACACCACAATTCAAACGCATCAATTCTTTGGTGTTCCTTATTCATTGTCCAGCTTTCACACGCACATAAGGTGATTGAAAATACCATGGCTTGGGTCATCCACATCTTAGTTTTCAAAGTGACATCTTTGCTCTTTAACACTTTAAAGTGGTCTTTTGCAGCAGATTTGTCCAATGCAATACATAACCCAATTTCTTGACTGATGCTTCCGTGGCCGCTGATTGTAGATCCAAGTAGAATGAAGTCCCTGACAACTTCAATCTTTTCTCCATTTATCATAATGTTGCTTATTGGGCCAGTTGTAAGGATTTTTATTTTATGTTGAGGTGTAAACCATACTAAAGGTTGTAGTCTTTGATCTTCATTAGTAAGTACTTCAAGTCATCCTTACTTTGAGCAAGCAAGTTTGTGTCACCAGCATATTGCAAGTTGTTCATCAGTCTTCCTCCAGTCCTGATGCTGCATTCTTCTTCATATACTCCAGCTTCTTGGATTATTTGCTCAGCACACAGATTGAATAAGCACAGTGAAAGAATACAACCCTGACGCACACCTTTCCTGATTTTAAATCTTCAGTGTCCCCTTGTACTGTTTGAACGAATGCCTCTTAGTCTATGTAAAGGTTCTGCACAAGCACAATTAAGTGTTCTGGAATTCCCATCCTTCACAATGTGACCTATAATTTGTTTTGATCCACACAGTCAATTGCCTATGCATAGTTGATAAAACTCAGGTATACATCTTGTCTGTCAGTTTGTTGTACTGTTGGCTTTCATGTTGCTGTGATGCTAGAGGCTATGCCACCAGCATGTCAAATGCTAGCAGGGTCACCCATGGTGGACGGTTTCAATGGAACTTCCAGAGTAAGACAGACTAGGAAGAAAGATGTGGCCAGGTTGACTTTGAAAAACTAGGGCACTGAAAACCTTACCTCACAGGACACTAAATAACAAAACAAGACACCATTGCCCTCCAGTCAGTCCAACTTATAGCGAGTAGAACTGCCCGAAAGGGTTTCCAAGGCTATAAATCCTTACAGAAACAGTGCCTCATCTTTCTCCCACAGAGCAGCTGTAAGTTCAAACCACCAACCTTTCGGTTAGCAAGTGAATGCTTTAACCACTGTGCCAGGAGAGTTCCTTCTTCTTAGGCTGGGTATCAGTAAATGTCTTAGTATATGTAAAGAACTCAGAACAGCAATTGTTACACATCAAACCCTCAGTAACTAATCTTATGTAAATACAACTAGAAGCCTTCCTCCCCCCCCAAAAAAACCTTACTGCCACCGAGTCGTCGATTCTGACTCATAGCGATTCCTGTTGGGTTTCCAAGGCGCTGAATCTTCATGGCAGTAGATTGTCCAGTCTTCCTTCCACAGAGTGGTGGGCTTGAACTGCCATCCTTCTGGTTAGCAGTCAAACACCTTAGGCACTGTGCCACTACAGCTCCTTGGGTGGGTTCACAAATGACAAAAATTAAGAGGATTCCAAAGTTGTACAGATCGTGGCAGAAGACCTCTCAAACCCGTGATAGGCACAGAAACGTATGTTAAGTTGTAATACTGTGCTGAGTGTATGGGCTGAAGCAGAATGAATGACATGACTGGATTGCAAGTGTGATTTCTTCTTTTGTTTTTTGTAGTTGTCTGAACAAAAACTCAAAAGAACAGCTAGGATGGATAATGAGTATTTGGTCCGATGCTTTCCACACGCCCCAGGGGAAGTTAAGGGGAAAAAATGAAACCCCACGGTAAACTGCAACTTGTTCACTTTCCTCTGACTCACACAGTACGCTTGGCTGAGCTTTAAAAAAAAA